GAGGCGTACACTAACCATGTCATTTGCACTGTAACAGACTACATGTAGGTGTACACTAACCATGTCATTTGCACTGTAACAGACTACATGTAGGTGTACACTAACCATGTCATTTGCACTGTAACAGACTACATGTAGGTGTACACTAACCATGTCATTTGCACTGTAACAGACGAGGCGTACACTAACCATGTCATTTGCACTGTAACAGACTAGGTGTACACTAACCATGTCATTTGCACTGTAATAGACTCGGTGTACACTAACCTGTTGGTACATATCTAATCTTTTCTGTGTTAAGACCATTGTTTGCTCTAATTTCTCATCACTTTGACCAAATCCTGGCTTCTGCTGCTTCAAGACAGCTTGCTGGAATATAAAGAAAAAAACATGTAATGATAAATACGCATATTTTGTTGACTGTGCACTGATCATAATAAAAAATGACCGATGTGAGTATGCAGGCAGGTATACAAAGACCAGATATAATTTACCTTTTCTTTCATGTATTTACTCCGTACTGATTGGAACCAATGCAATGAATCAAACTGATGATACTGATCCAACAACTTTAGGATATATGCGACACCTAAAAACAAAATAATGATAAATATAGCAGTTACAGGGAATTTAGATAACTTTTTTTCTTTTAAATTTATAATTTTGAATTTCCTCAAGAAAATTTCATTTGTTTTTAAATTCAGATAGTGAAATCTTTAGAATGGGAGAAATTTAACAAAAATCACTGTTCATATATATTACATCCACAAGGGAAAAGATCTGATGAGTGCTTGGTGATTAGTACTCATTTGATTATTTTGATGTCAGAATTTATAGATAGATGAATAGTGGAGTTGCTGCATTATTTATTTTTTATGGTCATGAAATCTTGATGTAGAAGTAAGTAAGCATCGAAAAATGATTTAAAACTATTTCATACTTGACTGTGTGATTTAATAAACTATTTAAAATACATGGAAATGTGCAAATTTAGTTGTTACAACAATTCAGGTTGTTAATTTTGACCACTGTTTTAAACATGCTCTATTTATGATAGAGCTCTGAAATTTTCATAGAATAATAAGATATATTTATAGATTCTATAAAGTATAAAAAGTTAATTTTGATTAAAATGTTGCAAAAACAAAACAAAAACAAAATACTACACTATCAAGTTACTCACCCATGGCAAAACCATCATCAGTGAAAGACGCACCAATTTTGTTCTTTTTATTTAACTTCTCTTTACAACCAATAGAATATTCAACAAAATTCAGAGTCTGTAAAAAATAATATTAAAGAGTACCTTAACTGTTTTATTATTTACAAATCATTGTCCTTGTCTATAACAGGTTTAATGACTGATAAAAGCAAGCTATGTGTTTTGTGTTGCCAGTATACAAAGAGTTGGCAAA